CCATTGATTTTTGGTAGGTCACGCTTCAAGCTTCTGCCCTGGCCTCTGTCCAGTTCCTCACTTACCTTGTTAAGAGAGTCGTGGCCCCCAGTTTTCAGAGACCCCTCTTATCAATCTTTGGTCTCTTCACTGCTGGTAAGAAACAAAATACTGAGACCACCAAGTATTTGTAAGCATCCCATCATATCACTTATCTTTCCCTGATGTTACAATGGCAGCAATAAAAAGCAGTACACAGCTAGGTTTCTGCAGCAAACAGGGCTGAGTAACTGGAGATGGCTAACTCCAAGCCTCTGTGGAGAAGTCTACCTCCTTTGTACGTGGAAATGGGCCCAAAATACCGAAGATGTGCCAACTAGTAGAGCACACATTTGAGGTGGACTTGGTTTTAGTTTGGGTTTTTTCCATGCTGAGGTTAGGCACTAGTTGAGGGGTTAACTTCTATACTGTTAGATGGTTGCTCATGCTGTCAGGCAAACCCAGAGCACAGGGCCAAAAACAGCCTGGTGGCCACACTATCAGAACCAGTGGGCTGGATATCACATCCCACCAGCGCTCACCTGCACACACGTGGATTTGCCAGGCTTTACAGTGCAGCTGCGCAGCCAGGGTCTGCATCCCCTGCACCTGCCCTGCCGCCTTCTGCCAACTTCTCTGGCCTGTGTTACTTTCTAAAAGAGGAGGAGGAAAAGAAATCCGCAGCTCGGACTTGTCACTCCTCAGGCCTCTGGGCCCCACTGCCCCTTTCCTGGGGTTGTTTCCGTCTTGTCCCTCTGACTCATCTGAGGCCTCCAGCTTTCTTGCAAGAAGCCTCAGGGGCTTTGATATGAAGCAGCCTGCTTGGAAGGGTCCAGATTGTGAGGGGGTTCCAAGCAAGTTCTGGTGCAGCTGTCACTGGTGGTTGCTTGTGACCTGTGACCACTGTAGCATCCTCCTGGAGATATTTAGATCCTCACCTATCCGAGGCCCAGACCCGCCAGCAAGGCTAAGTGTTTGAGTCAGAACTGTCCAGTGATGCGGTGAGCATCTGTAACTGGTCATGCAGACCGGGACGCCCAGGGCAGAGAGCTTTCACTCATTCTTCGCCATGGCCTCAGCTGTGGCCCAGATGTCCTCCAGCCCAGAGAATTGTACCAACACACGGACATGAAAACCTGCTTTGGGTCAGGACATCCCAGCTAGTGTGGGGCTTTTCCACCCCCACATTTGGGAAGAAAGCTTCTCTGGGTAGCCTGTGTTACTTAGATATTTCAGGATGCACTGTTGTTTCTCTGTCATAAGCAGGAAACTGGGATGGTGCTAGTATCCCAGCTGAGCTTCTGACGGCAGCTTCAGTGTGATCTGCATGCATCCACTTCCATGAGCTTAACAGAGAACCCATTCCTGTGCAGATACTCGCTCTGCATTGACACTGAAACCCAGCAAGCAAGTCTCCAGATAAACACGTCATGGCCCCATCACAACAGAGAAACCAAGCTTTGTCAGTTTTTCAGAATCATGGGTAACCCTCAAGCTTCTTAATGCCACAGAGGTCGAGGTTATGTCTGCCTCAAGGCATCAAGCAACACACAATCAGCTTGTCCTACAGGGTTCCAGGAGCCCTGGAAGGCCAGAATGTGGGCACTGGCCTAAAACCCACTGGAATGTATGAGAACTGGGGCTGGGAGTGAATTAAGTGGAGGAACTTGGGAAACTACCCTGGTGGGTCATAGCTCCCACTGGTGAACATGTGGTCCAGACCTGGGGGTCAGACAAGCTGGGCAAAGTAGCTCCAACGGCTGGCACATGTGTGGATTGATAATGGAATGGGGTGTACCAGGTAGACCTGAGCAAACCTTAGCCCACAAGCAAAACTAGAAATCAGAATGGAGCACAGGGCATGCCGAGCTCGGCTGTTGTACCTACTGGTCTGCATGAGCCAGGGATGCTAAGCCCCAGTGTCTAAGGCAGGGGTCAGGACAGATGAGGGACTGTGCCAAGCTGAGTCAGGCCCGGTTGGGAGCTAAAGTGAGACCCTAGCTAGTTTGAGATTCCCACCAAGGGCCACGAGGGCTGGAATGGGGCTGTGTTCTGATCAGGATACCGTTGTAGTCTCCCTTGGCACAAGTATGGACTGGGACTGGACGCACCAAGTCGGGCTAGACTCAAACACCATCTTGTGCTCTGGAGAACCAGGGTAGCTGTGGGACGGACTAGGCTAGGTCTCTCCCCTACTGAGCCATGTGTGAGCTGTCTGTGGGTATGGACGAGCCGTGACTGGGCTGAAACATCCAACAGCAAGAACCAGATTGGGTTGAAGGCCAGTCAGGAAAAGCCACTGTTACTGCTAGGACAGGAGGTGAACTGAGTAGGGCTGGCTCATGGACCCTCTGGTATGCGCAAAATGTGGCATTGGGAGAATTTCTGATGGAGGAGCCTGGGCAACTCCTCTGACAGGACACAGACCCTGCAGGTAAGCGCAAGAAGCATGAAAGGAAACAGCCTAGAAGAGGCCATGGGAAGTTTCCCACTGGCATAGATTTGGCATGGGTCAGGGGCAGACCAGGCTGAATCAGTTCACATCATCCACTGACGAATCTGAGCACCAGAACAGAGCATGAGTCGAGCCAGGTTCGGTCGTGACAAAAACCAGTGCACAATATGGAATGCCAAGCTGAGGTTACTGGATGTGACCACAGTGCCCAACCAGCACAGGTGAGAACAAGGAAGGGAGAGGGCAGAGTCGGCAAGGAGAATAAGAGTGTGGGGGGGGGGGGTTCCCCTGCTGGACAGCTACTCCCACTGGAGAGTGTGAGCTGGCATGAGAGCAGACCAGACTAGGCAGTGTTACTACACCTGTGGCCTCATGTGAGCTAGATCAGGGAAAAGCCAGGCTGGGCTGACTGTTCCTACTGGTTTAAGCATAAATCAGAGTGGGTGAGGGTTGTTTGGGCTTTGCCACAGCACCAGCTGGCAGAAGCTGGCACAGGGGGCTAATTCTGAGAAGTCAAACTGCAGAACCACCTGGAGAGTGCATGATCTGGGAGTGGGAGTGGCCTGGGAGGGAAATAGTGGGCTCCTGCCTCTTGGGTTACCACTCCCACTGGAGGGCAAGAAAACTAGGACAGGGGCTGGGGTGTCTAGACAGAGAGGCACCCAACAGCAGGTGTGTGGGCTGGATAGTTGAGTTAGTTACATGGAACTAGGCTTTAATACCCATTGACATGTATGAGAGCTGAATGGGATGTGGGACAGACTGGACTAGTCTGCTACACATACTGGCCAACCAGGGCAGGGGGCGGGCCTGGTGGGGGTTATTGTGGGTCCCTCCAACTAGCCTGCAGCTCCCACTGGTTTATGTGGAGGCCAAGTGTGTGCTTGGCAGGACCAGGCTGGACTGAAATACCCATTGGTTCAGCAATTGCAACCACAGCTGATTGGGGCGATGGACTGGGCCGGGCCCTATACTTGCTAGTACATACAAGAATCTGGTCTGGGAACACCTCAGACAAAGTCTCTTTGGGATCAATTGAAATGCTGGACTCAGAACCCTAACCAAGAAAAGACAGAAGACAGAACAAGTCAATCAACCACCTCAGCTATATGTTGGCAGTGAAAGACGGGGCAGACGGAGACTCTATGATGGACTATGTCAATCAGTGGATTCTTCAACGACCTCATTGTGCTTGGAGTGGCGAGATTGGCAGCAGTTCATAACTGGTGAACTATCAAAACCACTTGAGCAAGACCCTCAGAGCATGCCCCACATCTGGGACCTGGGGTGGGTGGGATACTAGGTGGGGCTTTTCCTTTAAAATCCCCCTTTACCTCAGATACATGAAGGAAACAATATGGAACTAATAGTCTTACCCACTTTCCTGTAGCCCTTGAACCTTTTTACCCTAATTAACTATGTAAAGAGTGTCAAAATATAATAAAAAATAGAAAAAGTTAAAAAATATATATATCTTTAAAAAAAACCCCACCTGGCCTCAATAGTTTCGCTGTGGGCTTCAGGTCCTCGTCTGAGGGTCTTGTAGGCACACACCGTCAGTGCCAACGCTCGGGCTAAGAACCCTAGGAGGGTTCCTGGACACCTGGGTCTCTTCAAGCTTTCCTTTGCCAAGGTTGAAGTTGTGTTTATCACGGGATTCGTTTTTGATGAAGACATACACCATTCCAATTTTTCTTCTGGTTGAGCATCGAAGTTAACACACTCCTACCATCTTCCTAAGACTCTTTTAAAACGGTGATTTCTGAATCGGCCGAGAGAGGGGTCCAGCGGAGCCAGCTCACTGCCAAGTCTGGGTGGGGTGGCACCGACAGGTGACAGCGACAATGTCAGCCGCCTCACAAAGACTCCATGAGCACCGGAGTGAGGGGCACGAGTGAGGCTGGACCCTACGTGGACCGGCAACGAGGGTGCGTGGGGCCTGGGCCCTGGGATCCCTGTCCTGTCACCAACCGCTGGCCCCCGGCTGAGGGCCGCCGGCAGGTGGCATCTCCCAGGTTCCTAGGCAGGTGAAGGCAGGGCTGGGATGGATGCCCGCATGGTTCACCCTTGGGGAGGACATGGGGGGGTGTATCTCCACGCCGAATCCCAGTGCGTTTACTCAACTGGAATCATGGAAACCAAGGCAGTGCCAGTGCGGGGCCTGCCAGACTCCGGTCTCGGGCCTCGCAGGGTCACTACCCTAAGTGGGATCAGGGTCCGCTAAGGATAACCGCGGGGCGCCATGTCGCCCTGCCGCCGGCCCTTAGGAACGGCGCTGCTGCCCAGACTGAGGTGGAGGAAGCAGCCGCCGCCCAGCCGAAGAAGAGAGGCCGGGGGCTTCCCGGGGGAAGGGCGGCGAGAGCGAGCCGGGCCGAACGCCTCGGTCGCCTCAGCCCCGCCCGGCCCCGCCCCGGCCCCTCCGGCCGCCGACGTGAGGTGGGTTGGGGTGGGCGGGAGGCCTGCGCCAGCGCCTTTAAGGGGCGTGGCCATGTGCTCCGCCCCCAGCCGCCCCTCGCGCGCCAGTCAGGGGAGGAGGCGCCCGGGCCTCGGGGGGCGGGTGGGAAGCGAGACGTGCGCTAGTGCGCAGGCGCCTTGGCCGGACGACACAGCGTGTGTTTCCAAAATGGCGGCAGCGATGGATGTGGATACCCCGAGCGGCACCAACAGCGGCGCGGGCAAGAAGCGCTTTGAAGTGAAAAAGGTTGGGTCTCGCCAGCGCCTTCCTCGGGGAAGCTTAGAGAAGCACGGATCAGGCTGGCAGGCCCTGGGGTGACCGAGGCGCGGAGGAAAGGCGCTTCCTTTCAGGGCGTTCCTAGGAGCGGGTACCATGAAGGGAAGCCCGGGGCTGGGGGAGGGGGCGGGCCCTGGCGTTGATGGACGTGCCGGCGGCCCAATGCCGAGCGCGGGGCTGAGGTGCGCCGGGCGGGCGCACGGGCCAATCACGCGGGGGCTTGTTGAGAGGCGCGCGGCTGCGACGGGGCTGCGGGAGCCTAGCGCCTGAGCTGTCACTGAAGTGGCTGAGGGGGCAGCGGGGGCAGCGGGGCGAGAGTGGCGAGAAGCCGGGGGCAGCCCGCGGGCTTCCCGCACCGGAGAGGCCCTGCGGGAGCCCGGCTCGAAGGAGGAAACCCCGCTAGGTCCCTGACCCCGATGCCCACCCCGTAGAGTGTCTCCCGTGAGAGACGTTGGGTCGGTTCTGTGGTGATCTGTCGACATCCAGAATCTTCCATTGGGAAAGATATTTAAAACAAACAAGCAAAAAAAGAATTTTTTTTTTCTGCAAGAAAATACCCCAAACCATTTGTGCGGGACTGCGTCCCAGTTAGGAGTGACCGGTCCAGGGGGCGTGGGGGGAGGACACAGGTAGAACGAGGACGCTCTTTCGCGGGCGTTCTCCCTGACTAGGCTCTGCCCGAGAGAGGAACGGGGAGCTGTTGGTGCTGGGAGGTCCGGGCCGCGGACAGCGCCGGCCCTGCTCGGCCCGCAGCCATGTTGAGCACTGCTAGCCGGAGCTGCGTGTGCAAACTGCCGACCAAGTTCCGAGAGCCCCGGGACTGCCCTGGAAGGCGAGGAAGGGCTGGGCGGTGGCGCCACGTTAGCGTGGCTGAGGGGAGTGTTTTTTTCACCCCTTGTCTTAACCGTGGAGGGTGAGCGTTCCCAGAGCCGAGCAGCTCCGTTTATTTGATGCAGAGAACGGAAGCTCTTAGGAACGGATTGGCGTGGCGTAGCGGTGTGAGGTTGGAGGGATGACCTTGGTCGGAAACCCGCACAGGGTCGCTGGTTATCCGGCTTATCCCGCCATTACCCACCTGCTGATCTCCGTTTGTTCTGTTCCAGCTTTCCCCTCCGACCCCTGCTCCCTGAGCCGCCTCTGGGGTCCTGCCGTGCCAGAAAAGCCCTTCACGGGGGTGCACGTTGGTGCTTATTAAGCCCCAAACAAGCACTTGAACCGTTCCTCACGTGCCAGTGTTGATAGGACTAAGTGATTTTAAACCTTTTAGGGGAGGGAGTAGAAAGATGACTCATTCTTTTCTGTATTTGCTGAACTTCTGCAGAATGGGTGAGCACACATACAGCTCGCAATTGTCCTCTAATGTAACGAGTAAAAAGATGTCACAGCTGAAACCTCGGGCTCCTGGCGGCCCCTGGGGCCCGGGTGGCAGCAACAGCGGTTGCAGCAAAAAGTCCTGAAGTGTGTGTGTAAGAGTAAAAGAGACTACGAGGAGAGTGCATTGGCGCTTGTCTTTCTCTTCGCAGTGGAATGCAGTGGCTCTGTGGGCCTGGGATATTGTGGTGGACAACTGTGCCATCTGCAGAAACCACATTATGGATCTCTGTGAGTAGCTGGAGCAGGGTGGGAACTGTTGAGAGGGGACGCAGGTCATGGCCATCGCGGTGTGGCAGTTCCCTTCACGAGGAGACAGGGCACAGGGCGTCGGGTTTCTGATGGTTAGTGCATCAGTGTGTTCAAAAGCAAGCCATTCTTCCTGCTGCCCGACTGACCTGCCCAGCTCTGAGTGGATCCACTTCTCGAGGCTGAGGACACGTGGAGAATGCACAAACACGTGCTGTTTGTGCTGCCTCTGGGTCTCCCATGGAGGTTACAAGGCGGAAATCTGAATGAAGAGTAAGTTATGACCTAAAACATTGTATCTGCTCTCATTTTCTCCTGGGCAGGACTTACAGCTGATCCTTGGCGTCCTTAGCCTCCCTCAGGAACGGCAAACAACGGTGGATCCTAAGTTTATTTTGTTTGTTTGTTTGTTTTTTCAGGAATTATGTTTGCACTGAGTAGATCTGTCCTCCTGTGTTGTCATGAAGCCCTAACCCATACTAGCAGCGGCTAGTGGCCTTCCCATTGGAATGGTTGTTACAAGTCCTGCAGGGATGAATGGAGGATTTGGAAGGATGTGTGTGGGCTGTATGCCAGGACCATGGCACTTAATGAAAAGGGCCTGTGCAAACAAATCTCCCCAGGTGGCAAGGGACAGTTGTGTAAGGCAAAGCCTAAGGAAGAAGAATGTTTTTTCTTTTAAAATTTATTTATATGAAGGAGTTACGGACAGAGGAGAGGCAGAGAAACACATCTTTCATCTCCTGGTTGACTTACCAGTCGTCAGCAGATGGCCATTACTGGGCCAGGCAGGAGCCGCCAGAGGATACCTCCAGGTCTCCCATGGGGGTGCAGGGGCCCAAGCAGCGTCCTGTGCTGCCCTTCCAGGCTCCCAGGGAGCTGGATAGGAAATGGAGCAGCCAGGGCCTGCACAGACATGTATGTAAGATGCAGGCAGTAGCTTAACCCACCTCCAGTCCAGGGGTTATGAATTTTTCCTGTCGGGCCCAGCATGGTAGCCTAGTGGCTAAATCCTTGCCTTGCATCCACTCGAATTTTATGATGAGGGCCAGTCCATGTCTCAGCTGCTCCACTTCCAATCCACCTCCCTGCTTGTGGCCTGGGAAAGCAGTCGAGGATAACCCAAAGCCTTGTGGCCCTCCACTGGCTTGGGAGACCCAGAAGAAGCTCTTGGCCTCAGATTGGCTCAGCTCTGGCTGTTGTGGCCACCTGGGGAGTGAACCAGTGGATATTTCTGTATCTCCTCTCTGTAAATCTTCCTTTCAATAAAAATTAATCTTGAAAAGTTTCTATGTTAACACCAAACAATAGAAAGGGCATCATCAGTCACCATTGTCCTAGTAGGCAGTTATCTTCACTAAAGACATTTTACACATAGTAGGTGTCATCATAGCTGTTGATGGACTGACTGTGTTGTGATAGCGGTGGGACACACACGTTGACCACTGCAGGAAAAGTTGAGATTATATTTTCATCCTGGTACTAAAATGAGTGGTTGTCGAAATTGAATGGAACAACGAAATTGTTCTGTTTTTGAACATTTGAACTGTAGGCTCTCACTTCGTAGCTGGCTCTCTTGCCTTTGCAGTTTCATTGTGAACTGGTCTTTTCTGGGCTGGTCTCCCACATATATAAACAGCCTTCTTGCTGTTCCTGAAGGATCTGTGACCGGGGCTCGTTTTTATAGCCCTCTAAAATGTTCTCCGCTTCTTTCCCTTGTGGTTTTTTTGTTTGTTTGTTTTTAAGATTTAGTTACTTTCATTTAAAAAATAGATTTACAGTTTGAGATCTTCATCCGCTGGTTCCTCAGTGGCCTGAGCTGAGCTGGTCAGGAACTAGGAGCCTCTGTGTCTCCCATGTATGCGCAGGGTCCCAAAGGCCTGAGCCGTAAGCAGGGAGCTGGGCAGGAAGTAGAGCATCTGGGACACGAACCTGTGCCGTGTCGGATGCCAGCATATGGGGGAGGGTTGGCCAGTTGGACAGCTGTGCGGCAGGAGGAGCAGTGGCTTGGGCCTGCTTTTTTTTTATCCCAGCGTTTTCCAGTCCAAAAATTCCAACGCATACACAGTTTTAAACTTTCAGCTGCCCACCTTAGTGAAGCCAGCATAAAGAAGTGAAATTAATATGATATTTCATCTGCATGTTAAATATTTTCATTTCAGCATATGGTCGATGTAAAGTATGTTTGTTTTTGCATCAAGGTTGAGCTGCATTGCACACTGCCAGTGCGTCTTCATTCAGGCTAGCACATCTCACGTGCCTGGGTGCCTCACGTGTTGAGTAGCTAATGTCTTGACCAATGTAAGACTAACCCATTGTTGATCTTCATATCTCACGTTGAACTTGCTCCAAGAAGTTTACTTGGATCATACACATATATAAGCTGGCCATGGCAGTTTTGTTTACTATTCCTAGCACACACAAGGGCTTCCATTTGTATTAGTCATTTAGTTGAGTTAGTCTCCAGGCGTATGTTATGCTGTATAGCAAGGAGTTAGCGTGGTGTGTACTGTAAGAAAAGTTCTCACTAAATACTTGCTGAGTGAATAATATAAATACAAAATACCAGGAGTATGCTGTGGTTGTTGCAGCTTGGAAAGCATAAATCAGATCTTTTGTGTTGGAGAGTGATCACAATATGTGACAGTGGTAGATCTCCCTGGCCTTGTTTGTACTTTGGCTGCTTCCCTTTTATTCTTTAAAGATTTTTTTTTTTAATCTGAAAAATTTAAAAATATATATATAGAGATAGGTAGGAAATGAGAGGCCTCCAATCCACTGGTTCACTTACCAGATGGCAACAGTAGCAGGTGTTGGGCCTGCCAGAGCCAGGAGGCAGAAGCTTCATGCAGGTCTTCTACGTGGGTGCTGGGGGCCCAAGCACTTGGGCCATCCTCCTGCCATCCTGGGTTCGTTAGCCCAGAGCCGGATTGGGGGTGGAGCAGCTAGGGTTCGAACCAGTGTTCCTACTCCCATTGCCAGCAGTGCAGCCAATGGCTTAATGTGCTACGCCACAGCACTGCCCCCCCTCCCGTTTCCTTCCACACTGCAGTCCAATCAGCAGCTCACATAGTGTTTAATAGAGATGGCAGGAATCCATCACCAAAAACCACATGCAGAGTTTTCAATATGTTTGGGCGGGGTCTTTGATTACGTGCCTGCTGCCAGTTGCTGTGCCTTGCCTCTTCGCAGCCTGTGGCTAGAGGCTCTTTTCTGAAAGTACGTAATAAGTTTTTATAATGCTTTTCTTTGCCTCTGTATTTAAGTATTTGTGTACTTAATGTGAGAGAATATAGTTCTTGAAAGGACTACAACACAAGTGCTGTATTTTCTTAGAATTGAACACTTAATGAATCCAGTTCGACTTTTGGTTAGATACCCATATTATCAGAAAATGTCTGATGTCTTCTAAGTAAGCTAACGTTGCAGTATAATGGGTAAAGCTGTTGCTTAATAATTCTGGCATCCCACATGGGCACTGGTTTGTATTCTGACTGTTCCACTTCCAATCCAGCTGCCTGCCGTGGAGTGCGGACAGAGGGAGAGAAAGGTTGTGAGGTGGTCCTGCTGTTTCACTGGGGCTGGGCCAGGCGGGGGCCAGGCGGGGGCCAGGCTGAAGCCGGAACCTGGAGCTCCACCCAGGACTCTGATGTGGTGACAAGGGCCCGAGAATTCGAGCCATCTTCCACTGCTTTGCCACGTGTGTTAGCAGAGGAGTAGGCAGGACGTGGTGGTGCTCACCTGCTTGTCGGCCTCACAGGCAGTGACGTAACCACGTAACCCGCTGTGCCATGATGCCTGCCCCTTGCTGGGGCTTAGTATTGATCTTACATGCTCCCGTTAATTGATTGTTTTAGAATATTCCTGAAATGTACAATGTGCTGGGTGTTCTTTTCTTCGTTTTTATTTCTCTTACAAAGCCAGACATCCAGAGAGGAGGAGAGACGGGGAGGAAGAGCTTATGTGCCATGCTGCCGTCTGCTCGTGAATAGTGCCTGTCTCAGATTGGTTTTTTGTTGTTGTTGTTCCTTTTGTTTTTAATGGGTTTTTTTTAATTGGAAAGGCAGATATAGAGAGAGGAGGAGATACCATCTGCTGGTTCAGTCTCCAGGTGGTTACGATGGCCAGAGCTGAGCCGATCCGAAGCCAGGAGCTTTTTCCGGGTCTCCCACCAGTGAGTGCAGATCCCAAGGCTTTGAGCCATCCTCCACTGCTTTCCCAGGTCACAGGCAGAGAGCTGGATGGGAAGCAGGGCTGCCGGGATTAGAACCGGCGCCCATATGGGATCCCAGCGTATGCAAAAGAGGATTTAGCTGCTATGCTATCGCGACAGTCCCATGTTTTGTTTTTCAGATTTTTTTTTGGACAGGTAGGGTTATTGAAGAAGAGCTATCATTTATCTGCTGTTTCACTCCGCAAATAATGGCAGTGTCTAGGACTGGGCCCTGCCAAAGGCAGAAGCCTAGAACTTTATCTGTCCTCTTTGCGAATAAAAGAATCCCAAGGACCCAGCTGTCCTCTGTTTTGCCAGCCTCATTAGCAGGCAACTGAATTGGAAATGGAATAGCCAGGATTTGAACCAAAGCTTACATGGGTTATTGATGTCATAGGTGGGTTTTTTTGGTTGTTATGTATTTAATTTTATTTGATGAGAAGCTGCTTTTTCCAAGATTAATTTGATTGGAAAAGCAGATTTACAGGAAAAAAAAAAGAAAGATCTTCCGTCCTCTGGTTCATTCCCCAAATGGCCACAGTGGCTGGAGCTGAGTCCATCTGAACCAGCTTTGGTACACGGGTTCAGGAGCCCATGTACTAGGGCCATCTCCTGCTTTCCCAGGCCGTAAGCAGAGAGTAGGATCAGCAGCGGAGCAGTAGAGCATGAACTGGCCAGCCAGTGGAGGTTTAGCCTTCGAGCCGCTGCACCATGTCAGGCCCTGCTGCCTCAGTTTCGCTTGGCACCCACTGCACTCGGCGCAGCAGAAGCCTGGGAGGTGTAGGTGAGAGTCCCTGCTGCTCTCTCCTGATGAGCCCCAAGCCACGGCCCCTCTCTCCTGGCATTCTCAAGGGCATCATGCTCGTTTTCATTCTTTGTTACATTTTTTTTTTTTCTGAGAAAGAATACATATAGGCTTGGCCCGTATTTTCTCTGTTTATGGAAGCGATTTTCTTTTTTCAAGTGTTGAGCTCTGCACTCGGCATAGAAACACGGGCTAGGGGCTGGCACAGTGGTTCAGCAGGCTGATCCTTTGTAGTGCTGGCATTGCATATGGACACCAGTCCAAGTCCTGGCTGCTGCACCTCTGATCCAGCTCCCTGCTTGTGGCCTGGGATAGCAGTGGAGAATGGATCTAGTCCTTGGGTTTCTGTACCCACGTGTGAGAATCCTGGCTTTGATGGGCTCAGCTCCAGCCATTGCTGCCATTTGGGAAGGGAGTCAGCTGATGGAAAATATTGTCTTTCTATGTAAATCTGCCTTTTTTAAAAAAGGTAGTAAAGAAGCAAAGAAAGGTAGGGTCCCTACTCTGCTGGAGCTGTGACTCGGGCTGTCCAGAGGGAGCACGGGGTCACTGGCAGTGTTACAGGATGCACTGTGAAAGTTGGAAGGGCAGGAGCTGCTTCTGTGGGGGAGTCAGGAGAAGCTTCAGCTCTCATGGGAGTGTAAGCTGTTACTGAGGGAGGAGATGGACCTGAGAGAGAGAACTCGCTCTGGTGTGGAGACAAGTCATGGAGCAAGGACGAGGCTTCTTCCTGCTTTTGGTATGTGTGTGTGCTGCCAAGGCAAGCACAGGTGGAGACTTCATCGTGTCGGGAGCCGGAGTAGTGCCATGGCCACAGCCAGAAAGATCCAGAACAAACTGAAATGTGATGGACCTTAGAACAGTTTGGAGTTTTGTGTTGTTTGTTTTTAAAGATTCAGAAAGAGAGTGGAGATGGATCTTCTGTCCAGTCCGTTGGTTCACTCCCCAGGTGGCCATGGAAGCTAGGGCCGAGCCAGGGCAAAAGCAGGGTCCAGGCACTTAGGCCATCCTCCGCTGCTTTCTCAGGCTGTTAGCTAGATCAAAATTGTAGCAGTCAGGACATGAAGTAGTGTCCATGTGGGATCCTGGCATTTCAGATGGCTGCTTTAGCCACCGTATCACACCAGCCCCAAAACAGTTTTTGGTTTTACTATATGGCCTAGTGGATAAATCCTTACCTTGTATGCACCAGGATCCCATGTCGGGTGCTTGTTCGTGTCCTAACTGCTCCACTTCCCATCCAGCTCCCTGCTTGTGGCCTGGGAAAGCAGTTAAGGATGGCCCAAAACCATGAGACCCTGCATCCGTGTGGGAGACTCGGAAGAGGCTTCTGGCTCCTGGCTTCAGATTGGCTCAGCTCTGGCCATTGTGGCCATTTGGGAGAGTGAACTAGTGGACAGAAGAGCTTTCCCTCTGTGTCTCCTTCCCTCTGTAGATAGGCCTTTCTAATAAAAATACATTTAAAAAACAAAACACACACACACAAACATGGCCCTGGTCTAAGGTCAGGGGTCCCGCTTGAAGGCTACCAGTTGTTCTTTCTCTGCCATTCTGAATACTGAGTTCACAGCTTCAGAAGTCAGCAGCCTGTGGTCTACATTCTCCACTGTAATCAGATGATTAAAACGTAAGTTACACTGTTTTATTGGGAAAATGGATGCCAAAATCAAGTTTTGGAGGGTCAACGTGGTGGCTCAATAGGCTAATCCTCTGTCTGCAGCACCAGCGTCAGATATGGGTGCCAGCTGCTTAACTTCCATCTTCTCCTTATTTGTGGCTTAAGAAACAGTGGAGGATGGGCCAAAGCCTTGGGACCCTGTATCCACATGGGAGATCTGGAAGAAGGTCTTGGCTCCTGGCTTTGGATTGGCTCATTTCCGGCCATTTGGGGAGTGATGGAAGATCTTTCTGTCTCCTTCTTTCTATAAATCTGTCTTTCCAGTAAAAATAAATGGGAAAAATCAAGTTCTGTGATTTTGAATCTTTTATTATTAGGGTGGTATATGCTGTTCTCCCATAAGACCACTGTATCTATTAAAATCTTTGTTACCCATGCATTGTTTTCCACATGCAGTGATTTGAATTATTTCCTGTTATGCAATTGAAAACTTTTTATATTAGTTTATCTGAGACAGACAGAATGAGAGTCCTGTACTGTTGCTGGTTCACCTCCCAAGTTCCCACAGAGCTAGCACTAGGCCAGGCCAAGGCCAGGGTTAGGAACTCAGCGCAGGTCTCCCTGTGTGCGTGACAGGGACCCCGTTCCTTGAAGCGTTGCACCATCTCCCAGCGTGCACTTTAGCAGGAAACTGGAGTAAGGTGCCGGAGCTGGGACTGGAACCTGGTTCCCTCGTGCTGTATGTGGGAACTGGCGCCCTTAACTGCTAGGGCTGACACTCAGGACTGCATTCTGTTACCATCTTTGGAGAAAGCAGATTGTTCCTTCATGATTCTTTTTTTTTTTTAAGATTTATTTTTATTATTTTTTATTGGAAAGGCAGATATACAGAGAGGAGAGACAGAGAGGAAGATCTTTCGTCCGATGATTCACTCCCGCAACGGCCGATACTATGCCGATCCGAAGCCAGGAGCCTCTTCCTGGTCTCCCACGCGGGTGCAGGGTCCCAAAGCTTTGGGCCGTCCTCCACTGCTTTCCCAGGCCACAGGCAGGGAGCTGGAAGGGAAGCGGGGTTGCCGGGATTAGAACCGGCGCCCATATGGGATCCCGGGCGTGCAAGGCGAGGACTTAACCACTTGCGCCATCGTGCCGGGCCCTCCTTCATGATTCTTAACCATTGAATAGTTACCTCGAGTTTTTGCCTTCAGTCCCAATCTCAGCAGATCTCCATGGTGAAGTTGCTGGTGGCTGTGGTTGGAGTAATGGCCTTGGCTTCCCAGAGCGAGAGTACAGCAGTGTTGACCCTGATGTCTGACCATTGCCCTAACTGCCTGGCCGTGCTTTGCTTGATGCTGTCCTGAAGAGTGTGGGGTTTGGATGCTTGTCCAGGGGTCTGTCCGCAGTCAGGGGTCCTCATTCTTATTGTGCATCCGCCTCAGTTCACAGTTTCCCACCTGAGCCCTTTGTGGGTTGGAGCGTGCTGGCAGGCGAGGCACGCCTGTGGGCAGTTGGGGACTGAGAGGAAACGCCGACCACGAATAGAAAAGAGATGCCGGGCCCGGCACGGTGGCGCAGTGGTTAAGGTCCTCGCCTTGCACGCCCAGGATCCCATATGGGCGCCGGTTCTAATCCCGGCAGCCCTGCTTCCCTTCCAGCTCCCTGCTTGTGGCCTGGGAAAGCAGTCGAGGACGGCCCAAAGCTTTGGGACCCTGCACCCGCGTGGGAGACCAGGAAGAGGCTCCTGGCTTCGGATCGGCATAGCATCGGCCCGTTGCGCTCACTTGGGGAGTGAATCATTGGATGGAAGATCTTCCTCTCTGTCTCTCCTCTCTGTATATCTGCCTTTCCAATAAAAAATAATAAAAATAAATCTTTAAAAAAAAAAAGAGATGCCAGTTCTGGAACAGAGTGAGGAGGTTTAAGACTTAAATTCACCAAGTGAAAATCACTTCCATTTTGGTAGGCCAGGTCACGCCCAGTCTTTAAAAGCACAAGTTAATCATTTTTTAAAGACTCATTTATTTGAAAGAAAGAGTCACAGAGAGGAAGAGACAGTATTCCACCCACTGGTTCACTCCACAGTGACAATGACCAGGACCAGGCCAAAGCCAAGATCTAGGTCCTTCCTTGGGGTCTGCCACTTGAATGGCAGGAACCCAAGCACTAGGACGTCTTGCACTGCTTTCCCAGGCCATCAGGAGGGAGCTGGAAGGGAAGTAGAGCAGCCAGGACACCAACTGGCAGCTCTACTTGGTGCTGGCACCACCAGTGGTGGCTTTACCTGCCACACAGCACCGGCCCGGGGACTTTGTTTTTAAACAAGGATGGGGAGTGTCCACAGGCATCCAGTGAGGATGTGTTGTCTTCTGTGGGCTTTTACTCTTCTAAAGCAATGGAAAGAATGAACCGTGTGGGGGTTGTTCGGTTGCTTCCAGGTCCCATGACCCTGCTGTCTTGTTCCCACAGGCATCGAGTGTCAAGCTAACCAGGCGTCTGCTACCTCGGAGGAGTGCACCGTGGCGTGGGGCGTCTGCAACGTAAGGACACACCTTTACTGTCTGCGTGGCTGGGAGACGTACTGCCACCCTCCCCGCTTTGCCCGTCTTGAAAACGGGAACAGTCACAGTCCCACCTTTCTCCCAAAAGGCGTATAGTGGTTAAAAAAACAGACTTTACAAAGTCATCATGCTGTTCTTCAGTAACAGTGTAGAACTGTGTGATACGAAAAGCACCACTGCGTGTGAATAAGCAAGCCCAGCTGTGTTGGAGTCCTGGGGCTTCACCTTCAGGAGCTGCCCTTAGTTCCTGCGGCCCCTTGATGTGCGGAATCTTTACCTTGCAAGTTTGGAAACTGGCTTTGGAGGGTGTGTGTCTGGTGCGAAAGCAAAGTGCTCAGATCTGTGTGTGGCCAGTGGACAGTGGTGGGAGTTGGCTGTGGCAGCAGTGTTTTCTGCAGCATCACGAGGCTGAACGCAGAGCCTTCCCTGGCCGTGACAGCTGTGGAGGACAGCAGACATCAAACATGTTATTTCTAGCACATGTTTAAAAATTCACCCTTAGAGCCATGTGGTCACAGGCAGCATGAGCTGGACCCGTCCTGCTCAGGCCTCCTGTGTGCCGAGGGGACAGGACCCACAGCCGCAGAGTGACTGAGGACAAGGAGGGTCTGGTCTCCCCACCATTCCCTGTCTGCGTCTTCCTTGCTGGTGTAGAATGGGCTAGTGGGAAACGTGTCGTTACGGTTTGGTTAAATGTGCGTAGGCCTGCCTCAGGCCCAGCTCTGGGTTCCATGCTGAGTCCTGTGCAGCCCCTGGAGTTAGCAAGTCACCTCACTTGTCTGCGCTTCAGCTTCCTGTCTGCGCAGTGAAGATAGTAGTATCGGCCGTGCTTGCTTGCCGGCTCGGCGCGAGGCTCAGATAAGGTAGTGTCAGCATCGCTGCAAGCTGCTGAGTCCTGGAAGTGTCTCTTAAGTAAATTCTCCCTGCGCTGCCCTGTACAGCCGCAGGCACACCCTAGGACACGAGCAGGAGAGCCAGGGACCCCGAGCCCCGTGTGACAGGTCAGCTTAGGGAGCCTGGGGACACACAGACCCTGTGCTGCTACTGCGAGGTGCTTGACAGGCACGGGGAGGTCAGGGGCCTGGAGCACCGCAGGTGACCCTGACCCCAGCACCCAGTGGGAGAGAAAAAAGTGTCTTGGCTTCCTGCCCAGATTTCATAGTTGTGAATATGTTAAGCCTACAAAGCATACATCATTTGTTAGGGTGTCATTTGGCATCTCCTGCTCTCTGCCTCAGCCCCCCAGTCGCGGTGGGGCTTCAGGCTCCTGGCTCCTGTGGGCGCCCCTTGGAGGTAGCTCAGTCCCTGCGTGTGCTTGGCTCGCACCAGGACACAGGGCCCTCTCCACGACGCTCACCGGTTCCCCGCCCACTACCTCAGGTACCTGAGAGCCTTTACCTCTGGTGCCTTCCTGGTCCTGACTGTGGAAGTAGCCCTGGCTGCTCCTTGCCGGCTGCTCTAAGGCTTTCCCTCCCAGCACTTCCTGCCAGCCTGGTCTGAAAATTCTCATTCCTTGTAAAGACCAAGTGCCTCACCCTTTTAAGGATTATGAGCCCTGAGCTCTGGCAGTCTCCCCGTAGGGAAGCGTGCCTGTGAGCAGAAGGCTGACGGGCAGGTGGACGTGGGAGCCACGCCTGCCTGGTCCTCGGAGGAGAGCTGCAGCGAGCTCTCCACTAGCTGCGTGCCTGTGCTGCCGCCATTCTCTCTCCCTTTTGTGGAAACATTTTTTCCTTAAGACTGATCTGTTTATTTGAAAGGCAGAGTTAGACAGAGATCTTCCATCCACTGGTTCACTCCCCAGACTATGGCAATAGCCGGGGTTGGACTCAGCTGAAGCCAGGAGCTTCATGTAGGTGCCCCAAGTGGGTGGCAGGGACCCCAGGATTAGGGCCATCCTCTGCTTTCCCAGGTACATTAACAAGGAGCTGGATAGGAAGTGGAGCAGCTGGCACTTGAAGCGAAGTCCATGTGAGATGCCGGTGTCACAGACGGCAGCTTAGTGTGCTATACCACAGCACCAGCCCTGCTGGCAGCATTCTACCAGTGTTTAATCGCAGACAGCCTTGTCACCCCCAGGGTGTGCTCCGATGTTGAACCTGCCTTGTTGTCCCCTGTCCTAACCCACCCACCATGTGGACCCCCACGTTCCCTCCTGTGAAGCATGTCAGTGAGGAGTGCGTGCTAACCAAATGTGTCTTTTCTTTCAGCACGCTTTTCACTTCCACTGCATCTCTCGCTGGCTCAAAACACGGCAGGTGTGTCCCTTGGACAACAGAGAGTGGGAGTTCCAAAAGTAGGTGTCTCGGGCTGTTTGGTGACGTCAGGCGGGCTGTTCTTGGGGCCCCTCGGGCTGATGGGGGTGTAGTCTTAGGGGACAGAGAAGTGGGGTAGGCCTTGTTCGTGAACTGAGCTGATGGTTAGATGTTCAGAGGAGCATTTCTGTGGAAGAGGAACAAAGGGCCGGCACGTGTGGAATCAGCTCAGGGCTTCCCGACCTCCTGGGGCTGCACAGGCAGAAATCCCAGCGTGTGAATGCTGCCATGGCCACGCAGCGGCAGCCCCTGTGCTGTGGGTCGGACCAGCCGCCTGCCACATGTTCCACTGCTCTCTCACAGGGCCGGCGTTTGGGGCTGTCCTGACTGATTTATTATGTGAATAATCATGGCATGGTAAACTTAAAATTTCAGATGGTTGAAAGGGCATTTACCACAAAAGCTAGATCTGCCACGTTAGGCCCACACTGGAGTGTTGCTGGGGGCAGCAGCCTCATGCTTCTCGGTCTCCATAGGTGGATTTGCATGTAGGACCATATGGTACTGGCATGTGTATACATATACATCTTAATAAGGCTTATTTATTTGAAAAAGTGACAGAAGGAGAGACAGAAATATCCGCTGGTTAATCGGCTAGTTCATTCCCCACGTGGCCCCAACAGCCAGGGCGGGGCCAGGCCGACGCCAGGAGCGTCTCCCATGTGGGGCAGGGACTCGAGCGCTGGGCCCGTTCTCTGCTGCTTTCCCTGGGTGCGTTGGCAGGGAGCTGGGAGGGAAGTGGAGGAGCTGGGACTTGAACTGGCAACCATTTAGGATGGTCCCTTGTGTATAACAGTTTATCCTGTTTTTTTCCTATTGCGTACATTTTAGTAAAGTCCATACACATAGCCATCAGACCACCTGCTCTGTGGTGGGGGCAGAGTATGCCCTTAGGTACCACGCTACCCGTAACTTTAAGCCCGTCTGCATTGATGGGCATCTGGTTTTGGTTTTCCGTGTTAAGCAGCGTACAGGGTGGACATCTTACGCATGAGTCGTGGTGTACATGTGAAGTGTCTGTCACAGGGGAGTGCGCAAGCTTGCACCCTGCCACTGCCAGGGGTCTGCCACACACTCCTCAGCCCTGCTGCCCTGGGGGCCAGAGCTGGTGCTCAGGGCGCAAGTTTTCACAAGAGATTGGGCAATTTTTTTTTTTAATCTTTTACACGTTTCTGTTGAGTGCCTCTGAATACGTGTGTATTGTGCCCCTTATTCTTGATTTTTAATTAGGATGTTGATGAGAACTTCTTTTTTTTTTTAGATTAAAAAATTTTTGCATTCTAGTCAAGGTCTAATACCCCTCTGTGTGTCTCTCAAGAAACTTGCGAGGGACTCTGCCGTGCACGCCCGAGCTCCGTGCGTGGAGGTGGACGCGGAGTCTTGCATAAGGTGCAAGCATGTGTCAGGCCATCCTTCCCTGTGCTTGCAGGCCTGACAGGACTACCCGTCAGGCAGCAGCACTTTGCTTCATGCCAGGCTTCGGTCCCAGAGCCAGCCTCGCCTTCCCTTTCAGACCTGCTCTCCACCTGGCCCCTCGCAGGTGCCCATTCTGGTGCAGAGTTCCTCCAGCGAGCCTCAATGCTGCCCTTGGAGGCAGTGCCCATTGCTGCACTGGGAAAGAATAAAATCTAAAGCACTCTGGATTTTTTGTTCATTTGCTTTTGGTTTTTTGTTTTTAATTTTATTTTTAATGATGTTTACATAGTTGATCAGAGTGGGAAGGTTGGAGGATCAGCGGACAGTGGGTGAGCTGTTGTTTACTCGTTTTCTTTTTCTTCTTCCCAAATCCGGGGAGAGGAGGATGCAAGAGGACAAACCACGCCCACCCCCCCAGACAGCTGCACTGCCCGGGGGTGGCGGCCTGCCGCTGATGGCACCCCAGGCTCCCCGCCGTGGGGCCCTTCCTGGGGGTTCTGCTCACGTGTTTTTGATAGTTCTGAGATGCTGCTGCTAGTGCTACTCCAAGGATGAGGAAATTCTGTGTTCGTTTGTTTTCGAGATGTATTTATTTATTTGAAAGAGAGCGATCTCCCATCCACTGGTTCACTCCAGGTGGCTGGAGCAGTTGGGGTGAGGCCAGGCCAAAGCCTGGAGTCTCATGCACGTGTCCCATGGGGGCTGCAGGTCCCAAGAGCTAGGAACATCTGCTGTACCTCCCAGGCCATCAGCTGGATCACAGGAGTAGAACAGGCAGGATTTGAGCCAGCAGCAATATGGGATATCCAGTCCCAGACTGTGGCTTTATGCACTACGCCACAGTTGCAGCCCCGCTAGCACACGCCTTAAGACTATGTCAGTCCCGCTCTGCGTTCCATTCACACCCCCGCGGTGCTGGCTGCTCTGGGGAGTGGCAGGGCGGCTCTTCTTAGATGATGTGCAGGTGATTTTTCTGTGAAAAGCATTCCAAGGATCCTCCCAGATGATGGAGGCAGGATCCAGGGGTCCACGTCCAGGTTCACTTGACAAGCAGCTCCCTGCCCAGAAAGAGCCAAAGCAAGGGAGATGTTATGTTGAGCAATGTCACGGAAAAATGGCCTGGCATGTTTACTGTGACGCCTGCCTTGGCTTCTGGAGGACTCGGGACCTCGGAAACTCCTGGCTCGATTTTCCACACTCCCTTCTCCCAGAGTGCTGCCCGCAGCCACAGCTCTACTTGGCACTGAGAGCGGACTTTGAACTTGTTAGCCGTCTAATCACTGTCCTTGTCTTAAGCCTCCCTTGCCAGGCACGTCAGGCCAGGGACACCCCAAAGTTCAAGCAGGCTGGGTGGCAGAGCCCCTTTCCCCAAACCAGCTGTGACTTCTTCACTCCCCGTGGCACCCTGCCAGGTGCTGTGACTGAGCCCAGGGAGGGCCCAGCGCGGGGTTAGGTGAGATTGCGGAGAGCTGGAGCAGCAGTGACCCGCCCAGGCTGGGACGCACGAGCGAGCAGTGCTGTGCCGAGCTCAGGTGTTCATAGGTAGAAGCACGTTTTAGCACCTCAAACAGGAAACTGCCGTGGGATTAACAAAATGATCTACTTTGTCTTTCAGGTATGGGCACTAGAGAAAGAATTCTTCCATCAAGCTGAATTGTTTTGTTGTTCATTTAAGACTTGCCCTCTAGTTACTTAATTATAAATTAGATAGAACTGTGTCTTTTCTGTGTTGAATTTGTTGTTCCTTCGGCCATATTGTATTGTTAAGTAAAGTCTGGTTGAATTCTAGAATGGTGTTGTCTCCTGTGTTCGTGGGAGGGAAAGCCAGCTTTTGCAAATGTGACAGCAGTCATTGTGAAAGCCACCGCTAGTCACAGGAGTGGGCTGCAGGCCCCCGAAATGGGGTCTTGCTAACATCCAGTTTTGGGCTGGCCTGAGCCGAGTGCGTGCGAGTCTGGAGTGCAGGGGGCTGCCTCTGCTGGCTCAGGGACCAAGTCCTTGCCCTGTCACTGTTTCCTCGCCGCCAAGTCCTCACGTGCCTTTAATTTAGCCTGCTGGCGTCTTGGTCTCTTGACCCAAAGTCATCCATGGAATTATTTATTCAACACCTACTATGTGCAGTGCTTTGGCAATGCAGAGCTGAATTAGACAGCTGTCCTCGACCTTCACGCCGCTGCTGTGTGTGGAGATTGCCAAAAGGATAAAGTAAATGTGATAGATGCTAATTCTGGAAGGATCCACAAGGCCCAAATCTAGGCTTTGGATTTTTTTTTAAGATTTATTTATTTGTGGGCCCAGCGCAATAGCGTAGTGGTTGAAGTCCTCACCTTGAACATGCTGGGATCCCTTATGGGCGCCGGTTCATATTTTGGTGGTCCCACTTCCCATCCAGCTCCCTGCTTGTGGCTGAGAAAGCAGTAGAGGACGGCCCAAAGCCTTGGGACCCTGCACCTGCCTGGGAGACCCGGAAGAGGTTCCTGGCTCCTGGCTTCGGATTGATTCAGCACTGGCCGTTGTGGCCACTTGGGGAGTGAATCATTGGACAGAAGATCTTCCTCTCTGTCTCTCCTCCTCTCTATGTCTGCCTTTCCAGTAAGAATAAATCTTAAAAAAAGATTTATTTATTTGGAAGGCAGAATGAGAGAAAAGGAGAGACATGCAGAGACCCCTTCCAGTTCCAACAAGTGACTCCCCAAATGATATGGTGAGGCCAAAGCCGGGAACCAGGGCCTCCGTCCAGCCGCTCCCCAGGCTGCAGCAATCCAAACACTTGGGCCACATGCTGCTGCCTTCCCAGGCTACAAGCATGGAGCTGGATGGGAAGTGGAGCAGCCAGGACTTGAACTGGCACCCATGCGGGATGTTGCCTTAACCTGTGCCACAATGCTGCTCAAACAGGCAGGATTTTATTTTTATTTATTTATTTATTTATTTATTTATTTTAATTTACTTATGTATTACAAAGTCAGATATACATTGAGGAGGAGAGACAGAGAGGAAGATCTTCCGTCCGATGATTCACTCCCCAAGTGAGCACAACGGCCAATGCTATGCCGATCCGAAGCCAGGATCCAGGAACCTCTTCCGGGTCTCCCAGGCGGGTGCAGGTTCCCAAGGCTTTGGGCCGTCCTCTACTGCTTTCTCAGCCACAAGCAGGGAGCTGGATGGGAAGTGGAGCTGCCGGGATTAGAACCGTCGCCCATATGGGATCCCATTACGGTCAAGGTGAGGACTTCAGTCCCTAGGCCACCGTGCTCGGCCCAAGCTCAACTTTATTATTTGGCATGTGAACATTCATTTCTCATCTGTTAGAGTTTGTCTTCTTTCCCTTGTAAAAGATTGATTGACCAGGGCCCAGCATGATAGTGTAGCGGTTAAGGTCCTCACCTTGAACATGCCCGGGATCCCGTATGGGCGCCAGTTCTAATCCTGGCGGCCCTGCTTCCCATTCAGCTCCCGCCTGTGGCCTGGGAAACAGAGCTGGATCAGAAGTAGAGCAGCTGGGACACGAACCAGTATCCATATGGTGTGCTGGGATTGCAGGAGGCAGCTTTATCTGGATCGGAAAAGGAGCAGCCGTGACTCAAACCAGCGCTCATGGGATTCTGACATTTGGGCAAAGGCTTTGCCCACTATGCAGCAGTGCCAGTAACATGCTGCCTCTTCCTCCACTCTAACTCCCTCCTGTTGAGCCTGAGAAAGCAGCGGAGGATGGCTCAACTGCCTGGGCCCCTGCCAACCACATGGGCAACCCAGATGGAGTTCCAGGCTGCTGGCTTTGGCCTGGACCAGCCACAGCTGTTACAGCTCTCTGGAGAACGAACCAGTGGATGGTAGATCTCTCTTTTCCTCTGTGTGTGTGTCTCTGTAACTCGGCCTTTCAAATCAACAACACACACACAGAGCAAATGCCAGGCCGTGTATGTGAGGGTTGAAGGTTGAGGCCTCTGCCGTGGGCCATTTCCTACTATTTCAGTTTTGGAAAGAGGATATGTAAAGTGCAGTGCCCAGCACAGAGCTGACGCTGAGCAGGCGCTTAGCACACAGTGGCTCCCTTAGCATGCACCCTGTTGGTTACTTCCAGTCAAAAGCACAGAGGTCTTCGGGTCCACACAGGTGCACCAGGCGGTGCTGCCTGTCACGACCCTCCCCTGTGCCTGTAGCCAAGTAGGCCCCGGCCCACCTTTGGTGGTCTCTGCAGGCCATCCCCCGATGCCCAGCATGGACAGCCAGGGTTAGGGTGAATCCGTACTACCCCAAAGCAGAGCCCAAGCCAGACACTTGGCAACCTCAGCTTCCCCTGGGGGTGCTGCATCCCGGGCCTGGATGGGCAGCCCTGCAGGGAAAGCAGGGCAGGCTCCTGAAAAAACCCTGAGGCAGAGCAGCAGAGCTGAGGTTCTGCAGTCAGGGACCCCCTGCACCTGCCGGTGGGTAGGGAGGACTGAGGGCGGGGCTGGAATACGGCAGCCCAGCCCTGTGCCCCCACCCCTGCCTTCTGCCATCTTCGCTGCTGCACAACTCCAAGCTTCTGTGGTAGCATCGGTTTCCACTCCTGTCTTTATTCTGCATCACCCTGAGCCCCTTCCCAGGCCAGGGGGCGGGATGCAGGTCGGCCTCCCCCTCCCCTGAGAAGGCTCTCACTGTAGCCCTGCTCATGGGCGCTCACTGGCCTCCTCCAGCGGCTGTCCTCAGCCAGCCTCGATCCATATCCCCAAAACCACTTCTGATCCTGGCTTCGGTGGGCCTTGGCAGTATCAATGCCCCAACTCATTGACCAAGGGACACTGTCATTGCCCTCCTACCCCATTCCCCCCCATTCCCCACCCCCGATTCAGAAATGAGGTCCCTGGGCCTTACAGCATTTCGGAGACTTGCCTGAGGGCGCATGGAGAGATACAGGCAAGCTTGAACTTAAACGCAGTCACCCATCTCTGCTCTCATGTTCTTTCCATTCAGTGCTTACCCTCCCACGCAGGGCCCCAGCACCCCAGGCACTTCAGAGGTAGGGGAGTCTCCCCACCTGGGGGTGATCTGCCCAGGCATGCTGAGAAGGTCAAGGCCATGGTTGCTGGAGCCCGGAGGGTCAGGGCTGAGCCCAGAATAAGGAAAGCTAAATGAAGCAAGTCATAGAAGAGCTGCACTATTTCAGATAAAACATATGGGGGAAGCAGCAGATGAACAGATTGTGGGGCCCAGTGCAATTGCTCTCTGCCAATCCTCCTGCAAGGGCCAGGATCACATACAGGTGCTTGTTTATTGGCAAAGCAGATTTACATAGAAAAGGAGAGACAGAAAGATCTTCTACCTGTTTGCTGGTTCACTCCCCAAGTAGCCACAGCAGTCACAGCTGACCCCATCTGAAGCCTGGAGCCAGGAGCTTCTTCTGGGTCTCCCCTGCAGGTGCAGGGTCCCAAGGCTTTGGGGTGTCCTCCACTGCCTTTCCAGGCTACAATTAGGGAGCGGGATGGGAAGTGGAGCAGCCGGGATATGAACTGGCACCCATATGGGATCCCTGTGCTTGCGAAGGGAAGATTTAGTCACTGAGTCAGGTGCGAGCTTCGCCCCTCCCCACTTCCTGTCACATCTTTACCATGGTGCCAAGTGCCCACCTTAGGCCTCTCCTTGATAAACCATCATGATTTGCTTGTGGAGTTCTATACTTGCGACCTAATCCAACTCAGTTTCTTTCCAAAGGCTCCACATTCAGACTCCAAATGATTGGTCCCAGCCTCCATCTTTATTCCATCAACCATTAACCAAGATTTAAATGGCAGGTGAGGGCCCAGCACTGTAGCCTAGCGGCTAAAGTCCCCACCTTGAACATGCCAGAATCCCATATGGGCACCGGTTCTAATCCTGCAGTTCCACTTCCGTTCCTGCTCCCTGCTTGTGGCCTGGGAAAGCAGTTGAGGACGACCCAAAGCCTTGAGACCATGCATCTGCTTGGGAGACCTGGAGGGTCGTTTTGCTCTTTCTGGGTCCTCCGTGCTTTTCATGAAGCTGGCTGTGTGTGGCACAGGTGCCCTCTCCTGGGTGTGGCGTCAGCCTTGGCTGCTGCGGCACAAAGCGCCCCAGGTTCCCTTTCCGCAGCGTTAGTTCCATGTCTGTCCCTCCACACGCCTCTTCCCAGCGGCCTTGCCAAGGGCCACCACCTGCCTGTAGTCGCCGGAGCAAGAAACAGCTGCCTTGCTTCATCTCTCTGGCCTCCTCCCTCTGACCTGATGCCAAGCTCCACCAAGTGGGCACACCGATCTCAATCTCCCCCCGGCCCCCGGCACCGACCCCGCGCACTTGGACGCTTGCCAACAGCTTCTGGCTGGGTCCCCGAGTCGGCTGGCCCCCAGCACGCACCCCACCCGGCCTGCCAGGATCTGTTTGCTTTCACCTGAATCTCATCGTACCTGCAAGGCTAGTACCTACCCTGGGAGTCAAAGCTGAATCTCCTGCCGTGGCACACAGGCTCTGCTGGTCTGCAAGAGCCATTTATTGTGTCCCTCTGTGGTCCCCAACCACCTCACCCCATAGTGGTGTCAAGGCTGGTGTCCCCTGCCCCTGTTTCCAGTGGGGTTCTCCCTTACGGGTTCTGTGCTGCAAGCATCCGCTGCCTCTGCTCTTCCTCTGTGAGTGCCCTGCTCCATCTTTCTCAAAGGATCACGCCCCCCACCCCACCATGGCCTTTGCTGCTTCCTGTCCTGCTTAGGACAAAGTCTTTTTTTTTTTTTTAAGATTTATTTTATTTTTATTGGAAAGTCAGATATAAAGAGAGGAGAGACAGAGACGAAGATCCT